GGCACTAGAATTATTCGCATATAATACGAAGAGCTTGGGTTAATAACGCGCCGACGCGTTGTTGGAGGCAGGATACGGCCAACATCGCTGACGACGACACGACGACGATCCGCTTCTCGCCTCCGAGCATTCTGCGCCTTGAAAGCCGTCACGATGTTCTTCCTCTACAACATGGAGCGCAGGGTCACCCTGCACCCCTCCTACTTCGGCCGGAACATGCACGAGCTGGTGACGAGCAAGTTGCTGAAGGACGTGGAAGGCACCTGCGCAGGAAGTTACTACATCATTTCCATCATGGATACCTTCGATATTTCCGAGGGTCGCATTCTCCCAGGCAGTGGCCTGGCCGAGTTCACGGTGGGATACCGAGCCGTGGTTTGGCGACCCTTCAAGGGCGAGACGGTAATTGCTATAAATCTGCCTGGCTTTGTCGGGGAAGCGGCTTCTGACATGAACCCAGGTTGATGCTGTGGTCTACTCAGTCAATCACCAGGGCTTTTTCGCCCAGGCGGGGCCTCTGCGGTTATTCGTGTCGGCACATGTAGGTTCTCGCTTCCGCGCTGGCCAGGCAGTACCTTTTCGTCGATAGCTAACCGCTGCTATTTCTTTATCAGCTGATCCCGTCCGAGATCAAGTGGGATCCCAATGCGACACCGCCGCAGTTCACCAACAATGAAGATACCATCATTGAACCAGGAACCCACGTGCGTGTCAAGGTAATTGGTACGCGCACAGAAGTCGGTGAGATGTGGGCGATTGGCAGCATTAAGGAGGACTATCTCGGGTATGTCAATAACTGCGAAGCCTTGATTGGGTCTAACTCACATATCCTTGCAAAAGCTGCCTCCAGGACTAAACGTCACCCACGATGGGGAAGAGTAAGGAGACGGGCCACGAACGACCACGCCCAACGCGACCTATACAGGCTTTGGTCGGCGAGAGGTGGGTATTCGACACTCTACGCGAGTGGATCCTTGGCCGTTTATGGCAACAAGTGTTGCTACCGCGCAGAGCAACCCTTTTGGACAAGGCCCGGACGAAAATATCGAGAGAGTCGTCTTTGGGCCACAAACGAGACATCGCTACGCTGACCAATCTGCATCCGGGAAGTCAAACATAGAGAAAAGTTTGGAGAGAGAGAAAAGAGGGCATACGCATGCCTACATCGTACATGGCTGGCGCATTTTTTGCGATCCGCAGCGTCAGATCTGGGTTCCTGAAAGTTGTACAATAAGCTGTTGCTTTCCCACATTCAACGAAATAAAAAGAGCAAAGCTACGAGCAAACACAATGTCGCTCGGGTAGGCTTCTGGAGCGGCCATCCTTTGACGGCGAAGAGTTGAAGTCCCGAAAGTCTATATTGTGACCAGATTTGTGTTCTTTGTGAAGTTTCGAGGGTCTCAAGCTTGGACTAATTGCACGCACTTATCTAGGTAGGTACCTACCTTTCTGTATATACCTTTGGTGACATCAGGTAGCAAGCACCTGACGGGAGCTTGCTGTGGTGAGGTCGCGGGAGCCGGGAATTCGGCTAGCCCCGCCCAAACATACCTCTTCCCCCACGTTTCCTCCCTGGGTAAGGTAGCTCTGATAGACTAATAACCCCCAATGACATCCGACAATTACCCCGCCGCATGAATATCTCCGTCCCGTGGGTCTTTTTCACCCATGGTACGGATACTGTGGTGGGAATGGACCGAGTTCCTGTCCTAGAAACCCGCTTTACCTCCCCCGGCCCGCCTCTATCTGTTATCCGCGTGCATGCGTAGAATGGGGCGCCATGGCCGGCTTTCCCTCCGAAGAAATCAGTAAAGCACCCCCGCACTAGACAGACAGACAGACCCCTACGCGTATCTGACATAAGGCGCGGGTGACACATTGGGTTGGAGGGGTTGGTTCACATCATGAGCCGATTCCGGTGCTTGATCATGTAGTAAACCTATCAGAAAGGAAAGAAACAAAAGATTTGTATCTTACGTCGCACAGGAACTGTTGCCACTTGCAAATCATATAGACACCATCATTATAATTCGTCAATTTGCCACTTCACATTCGTGTATACAAACTACAATGTCGGCGATGCAAGCGGCCAACAAGCTCCGGACGGCCTTCACCAAGGGCGCCGGCCCCAGTTTCGGGTTGTGGCAGATGATTCCCGGCGCCAACGTCTCCCGGGTGCTTGCCCGGAGTCCCGGCGTGGATTGGGTCTTGGTCGATTGCGAGCATGGGAACATTGACGGTGAGCTTGATTGAGTCATCAGAGCAATGTTGATGCTGAACGCTGAACGAGAGGATCAAGATGAGAAGCTGACTTGTTGGTGTCCTACTTCCCAGATGGCGCCATGCACGATGCCGTCCCTGCCATTGCGGCGGCTGGTGTATCTCCCATTGTGAGGTTGCCGGACATGCAGAGCTGGATGGTGAAGCGTAAGAGCATTACCCCTTCCTCATGACTGGGGCAAATCAGACTAACCACATATTCAGGTGCTTTGGATTGCGGTGCTCACGGGGTAAGCAGACAAGCCTCATGTGAACAGAGAGAATGTTTCATTTACATGCGGTGTTCGCAAAGAGAAGAAGCTTGGCTGACAATTGAAAAAGATCCTCGTTCCGCTGCTCCGAACCGCCCAGGAGGCAAAGGACCTGGTGCAGTCGGCCAAGTTCCCGCCGTGGGGACGACGTGGGTTCGGGTCGCCTCTCGCCATGGAACGCTTCAGCCCGGCCCCCAGCATGACGGAGTACCTGCAGCAGGCCAACGACAGCCTGCTGACGATTGTGCAGATTGAGACCAGGGAGGCTCTCGAGTCCATTGACGAGATCGCGGCGGTGGAGGGTATTGACGCGCTCTTCATTGGCCCCTTTGATCTTGGTCAGTTTATGCCATCCCTTGAGCCATGCACTTTGGGCCGCTTGTTCACTTGAAGTTGGACGATTTTGGCTGACCGGCATCACAGGAAACAACATTGGCCACCCAGTGATTAACGGCGTCATCGAAAAGGAGCTGAGCGATGCTATTGAGCGCATCCTCGCGGCGACGCATAAGGCGGGTAAGAAGGCCGGCATCTTCTGCACGAGCGGCGAACAGTCCAAGTTCTTCGCGGATAAGGGGTTCGACATGATTAGCGTGGCGACGGATTACACGGCATTGCAGTACACAGTCTCGGAGTCATTGAGCATAGCCAGGGGAGGGGCGAAGCCGGCCAAGGGTGGATCGTACTGAGCGATATCGTAGGAGATGCCTAGAGATTCTCGAGAGTAGAAGGGTATCGAATATGGTAGAGGAGTAGGCTGTGCTGCTTGGTTGGTCGAACTCTTGGCTCGCCTGCTGGCTACCTCCTATGAGCCAAGCAACGCTGCGGCCGCTCTGGATGAGTAAGAAAGACGATCTTCACAGAGTTTACTTTCCTCCCTCTACTTGATCCATCTTGGCTTCGATCTGATCTGGGTCGAATCGATGCATGAGCTTGACAGCTTTGCCCACGAGTTTGACATCCTCCTCAGGGGCCTCGGCTTTGCTAATGTGGATCTGGGGTAAAGGGGCGCACGTCAACGGATTAGAAAGGTTTAAAGGCTCACTTTTGCAGGAAACTTTTGCGAAGGTGGATGTGCATCATCGGATGGCCTCCTTTTCATCCCACGCGGCAAGGAAAGAAGGATGAACTTACCACGGGCACGTCGAAATCGTAAAGGTCCCTCCACTTCTTGTTCTCTGGCTTCGTGATGACGACCTCCGTGTAAGCAAAAGGCCGGCGATCCCAAACGTTGGAGAGTGCCGATTTGGCCCGCACGCACAAGCCGCACTCATCGCGGGAGAAGAGGGTGATCCGACATGGTTGGACCTTTTGAAATAAACGTCGTGTTGGCGCAAACATTTTTATGATTGCTGCAGATCAAATTGCAAGTCTGCTGTGGACGTCTCGCGATTAACTCGAAATCTGACGTTTATCCCACCGTAGTGTGTGGGCACAACATACTCTTGAACCGAGAAAAAGAAGGAGGCTCGAAGGCTGTGAAACAGCCTCGTTCTCGGTCAGCTGGGAAAGGAAGACGAGGGGAGGAGAGAAAGGATAGGAATGTCAAATATGACGACTGGTACCAGGGATCAGGGTAGGTTGATGTTGGAGTTGAGTTGGAGGGGCGTACAATGTCTGTGGTTGTATTTGAGATATGTCTGTGAGATTCAAAGTGAGATGATGTGACCTGCCAACGTCTGCCAGTTGCGAAGGTGTGGAGAGAAACGCCCGTTGGTTATCGTTTCGAAATAGTCCGATTGATTGAATGGTTGGATCCGCCACGAAGAAAGCAAAATTGCTGCTCGTCCCAGTCCGTCTTGTGATGATGATGAAATGGGCAAAAAAAGGCAAAAGTGTGGGCTGAAGATGTCTGGTCTTTTTTTGGGTCGTAAGTTTGAAGTTTCCGACTGAACTTCCACCCCGGCCGAGTTGCAACTCCGAACCTGCAAGGACAAGGCCGGATGTAACCTGTCATTGTCTTCGGTCAATTCTTGCCGAATGTGGTCACATTACGGACGTCTTCTTCAGGAAGGCGGTCAGGACTTTGAAGCAGTCGCACCCCACCCTTCGTTATCCATCTCCGGCGAATCAGCAGGAAGATTTGGCGGAGCTTGTGCCCAACATGCATAATTTTGAGCCGCTAAATCGCAGTGACGACGACCCCTGGGAAATTCTGGAATCCTGGAGAACATAGCAACCCCTCCATCGACGACAACCACCCCTCACTCATCACTTCCACTTACGGGGGCCCTTTTCGACAATTTACATCCTGCCAGACCCGCCGCCTCTTTCATCCACACCAATTCTCAAACGTCACCCGTCGTCAATCTTGAATCTTGTTCATCCTTAACAATTTCTTTCCCCTTCCTTCCACTCCAATTCCTTGGAGCATCACTGTGTGTCCAGCAAACTTCGATTGCATCTCACCTCAGCACGCGAAAACGGTAGCGAAAGCCAAGCAGCATTAGCTCATCCTGCCAGCCCATCATGGCAGAAAAGTGCGTCCACCAGGGCTGCGGCAAGCTCTACTCTGATGCTGAGGAGCCATGTGTCTACCACCCCGGTCCTCCCGTCTTCCATGAAGGCCAGAAAGGTACTCACTCCTAGCCCCCCAATCACCATACAAACTCTACACAAGTGCTACGCCATGCTCCATGGAGAACGCGTCCTTCCCGTTCTTGTCCCGTGCGGATGTCATGGGATTCCCCTTCCTTCGTCCAATTGCACCTCTCCCATCCCCTTGCCACGAGCCCCGTTTAACCGCAATCAATCGCATTGGAAACATTTCACACGAGACACCGCGGCTAACCTCATTCACCGCTACCAAACAGGCTGGAAGTGCTGCAAACCCCGTGTCCTCACCTTTGAGGAGTTTATGGCCATCCCCCCCTGCACAACCGGCAAGCACTCCACAACCGACCTCCCCCCAAAGATCGAGCAGAAGCCCCAAGCGGACCCCGCGGACGCGCCTTCTCTCCTCGATAAGCTCGCATCGGCAGCGGAACCGGCACGCAAGCCCCTCTCCCAAGCCACAGCCGCTCCCTCCCCTCCGCCTCCACCCCCGGAGTCCGAGTCCGACGACGCTTCCCTCGAGATTCCCGACGGCACCACCTGCCGTCGTAAAGCCTGTTCGGCCACCTACCGCAAGGCCTCATCGCGCGATGGCGAATCCTGCGTCCACCACCCCGGTGCCCCCATCTTCCACGAGGGCTCCAAGGGCTACAGCTGCTGCAAGCGCCGTGTTCTCGAGTTTGACCAGTTTATGAAGATCGAAGGTTGCAAGACCAAGGGCCGTCACCTGTTCATCGGAAGCGGCAAGAAGAAGAACGCTGCGGCAGCTGGCGGCGAGGAGAAGCTCGACACAGTCCGCACCGACTTCTACCAGACCCCTTCTACTGTCATCGCCTCCTTCTTCCTCAAGAAGATCGTCAAGGATTCGGCCAAGATCGAGTTCAAGTCGCAATCCATCGCACTTGACCTGCCCACCTCAGACTCGCCGCCCAAGCGCTACACCACCGAGGTACCTCTGTTTGCGCCAATCGATACGGAAAAGTCCACCTTCAAGGTGCTTGGCACAAAACTTGAGGTGAACCTTGCCAAGGCCGGCGGTGAGTCGTGGCCTGTCCTGCGCAGTGATGACCGTCTCACTGGTGAGATATTACAAATCGGCAAGGCGGGGCGCTTGCAATAGTTCAAGACACCACCACAGGTACGGACTTACACTCTCGCGCACTCGCGTTCCCCGGGAGAGCATTCATGCGGGCTATCGGAGTTAGATGGTCACAAACCCCAGGAGAAACGTCAGCCAAAAGAGATGTTGAGATGACGCGAGAGAGAAGCGAATGAGGAAACACGTGTGTGAGACACGGGCGACCTCTAGACGCACGAAGGGGAAAGAAAAAAAGAGAAAGAAAGATACACCAGATACCTCTAGATGGGTATGTGAGACATTCATGTCCCACCCAAGGATGCGGTAGCTACTGTAATCCAAGAAAGAACCGTAAAACAAGAAGAAAAAGTTCAAGACATGCTCCTTGGCCCTGACCCCCTTTTACTCGTAACTTCGAGGTTCCTTTGGCTCTTCTGTTTTTGATGACGCCTCTGACTCTGCTGGAATGCGTGCTATCTATCTGCCATCTGCCTAGCCAGCCCCATTACCGTGCGGCGTGCTCAAAGGTCATGCTCTGAGAGGCCCGGAGGAGGACAAGGCCTTAGGCCTCGGAGGGGGGATCGACTCGAGCCGTGATCTGGTATGTGCCACGGCATGTGACCAAGGGTCTTGGCAGACAGACCGTGATACGCGGCCCCCTCCTCTGTTGACTCGGTGAAGATCCGTGTGAAGTGGTAAAATGAGTAGCGAGCTTCTTCTCTCTTCCAAAAGATCAGCCTCGCAAGAGAGCGGCCTCCAACTCCAACCAAACCACCCCCTGAGAGCACGAGCACAAGCACGAGCACGGATTGTTCTGTCCGTCCGTTCAACCCCAAGACAGAATACAGAAAAAAAAATCAGAAACGTTCTCGCCGTGTGTCACCTTGGGCCTTTTTCCTGCTTGATTATTACCATGGTAGACTCGCGCTTCAGGATTTGTTCTAAGAATACTCGGCCTAGAAACCCGTGCGCTTTCCTCTGTGCTCTTGCGACATGGCCGCCCGCGGCGTCAAGTTCACCACTGAACCAAAAGATTGTCCCCTTTTTTTTTTTTTTTTGTTGAGATGACGGAAGGTGATGATCCGTGGACATATCTCGATGTTCTGTTAGCAGGCCGTGGACATGTCTTGGCATTCGAACCGCTGTCCATTGCGTCTTTTGGCGGTCAGACTTCCTTTCCTTCTTCCTTCCTTCTTCTTCTTCGATAAAAAAAAAAAAAAAGGGTCCCACGTTGTCTAGCTATTGTTGCACTGCCGCCTTCGTTGTACTTGCCTAGAGGCTAGAGGCTAGAAGACTAGAATGTGCCGCGAAATGCTGTCTTGCCAAGCAGTCGGAAACGCTGCTAACGACTCTGGTTGCGCGCGCGCATGGGGGGTTGGTTCACCAACAATCACCAGAGACATCACTTTACTTAGTCTGGAAGATAAAGTTGGCGATCATCATGACGGGTCCTTCAAGTGCCGGTGGACGGTGTGCACCTTACTACTTAGTGGCTGGTGCCAAAGCTTGCCTTGTCACGCTTGTAGTGTACGGATAGTTGTCCGTGTGTGGGATTTGACAATTTGTGTAATGCTCAATTGGCTTATCTGATTTCCGCAATCTACCTAGTACTCTAGCCAAGGCCAAGCTAGCTAGCTTCAACCGCCCCTTACGGAGAGTTTTCTCAACAGCTTTTTTCTTGTGAAAGCAAACCCGAAAGCCAAGATAATAGGGGACGTGAGTACCCCCCTCCGGCAAACCACAAGTGTGTGTGTGTGTGTGCATGTGAGAGAACAACACACACCAAGGCAGTTCCCGGAGTCCCGATGCAGCTCTACCCGCAAACTAATACCGACGCTAGTGACAACACCCCTGGCACGACTGACATATCAGATAATCAGTCAGAACGAAAGGAAAGCCAGGGGGTGGGGAATTTTCAATGACTGAAAAAAAAAATGGAGAAAATAAAAAGTCTTGGCTTGTTGCGGCCTGATGCAATTGTAAAGAAAAACAGATTGATAAACCTTTTCCAACTCCGAGCCTAGCTGCCCATACAGCCAAACTTGCCAGGGATGATGGACGCAGGCACACGAAGCACGGATAGTGGTGCGCGCAGCACACACCGTCCGTATCTAGTGTCGAGTCAACCACCCCCCATAAACTGCATCACCCAAAACGCCAAGCCGGTGATGTGGATACAACAGGCATGAAAACATGTAGATTGGGAATCTGTGAGAAAAAAGAGGAAGAATAGGCAGGGAGGGCAAATCGAGTGCCGCCGCCGCCACATGAAGGTGGGAATTGTTGGAAATCGCAGAACGCATGCTTGGTAAAGAAAAAAAACGGAGTCCTCAACGAAGCGGAGTCCGTCACCCCCGCTGGACCGGCGTCCGTTGATGGAAACGCCCTTCCACTGCCGCGTCAGGATCGGCTTCGTGCTCCGCTTGGCTATTGCCACAAACTGGTCCGTTGTGGTAATACGGCCAAGACGGTGAAGTCGGCGCCCGCCCGGTAGTCAGGTGACAGTGGCTTTGCTCTCTAGCGCGGGAAGGGAGGACGTGTGCCAATGTGCCCGCCGGAGCTAGCAATAGACTCTACAGTCGTAGCTCTAGACCAGCCGCCGTGCCGCTCCCTATGTGGCAGGGATCACCCTGATAAGAGGCCGAAAAGGGATAAAGCCAAAATGGATAGGACGCAGGCCAGTGGAGAATAAGGCTTCAGAAGGGCTGTGCCATGACTGTGGGCGGTAACGGGCGTTGTTGGTCATAGTCGTCCAGATGTGTGTATGCGTGGTGTAAGCTGGAGAGTGTGGTGTAAGAGTGGTTATGGCGACCCGTTCTGCAGGGACGCAGCTCGTTTGTGCCTGGTGTTATGACGTGGGGTGTAGCCGTAGGCGGCTGATCTGACAGGATCTAGACTTTTGTTTTTGACTTCGCCGCACCAATGCAAGGGTGGAGCCTGCCCGCTGCGGGATGCAACGGAACCGGCGCCCCTCGCCCTCAACCCGTGCTCTTAGTTGCCGGGTTAGGAGAAGGCGCTCTCTCGTCCGTGCCATTGTAAATCAGCTGGAAGCCATCGCGGCGGCAGATAACAATGGGCTTGTCGTTGGAGCAGCGCCCGATGATTTCGCTGTTGTTCGGCAGGTTGTAAGGCACGGCGTCCTTGAAATGGATGATTGGGCCGCCGTCCATCGTGAGCCCGATAATTTCAGCTCCTTGAATGCCATCATCCTCATCAGAAGACTCGGCTTGAATAGTGTTCCTGTATCTCGTGTTAGCGCACATGTTTTCATCTTGGCGGGGGGAGGTTGGGTAGCAACCAATTTCCCGGGGTGGAAAGGTGCACGTACACTTGGCTCATGGGGAGCGTTCCGGCGTCACTCATCTTCCTCTTTCTCGCTGACGCCTTCTTGACTCTTCGGACCATGCATGTGTGGAAGTAGTGGAACAAACCCGCGATGACCAAGACGGGTGTGCCGAGAGCAAGAGCCCATGGACTATAATGATACGTTAGCGAAAACATGAGGCTTGCAAGTATGGCAGGGAGGCTACACACGGGTTCTTGCGTTGTCTCAGCTGGTGGACAAGGGCCAGAATGACTCCGCATACTGCAATGAGAGATCCGACCTGAATCATGGTGAAAGTCGACCAGTACAGCGACATGAGGTCCTCGCCGTCGCAGAACTGCAATGCCATCAAGGTGAAGACCTCCATAATGACCGTCGCTAATGAGACGCAAACGCATCCCAGGTTGAACCAGATGCAATGCTTGATGGCTTTTTTCCTTTTTGCGTCCGTCTCGGGGAGTTCGCTCACAGCGTCCAATGTCCTGAACAGTTGGTCAGTGAGACTGTTTGAGGAAAGATGACCGTGAGACGCAACGGTTTTGCGGGGGAACTCACCGTGTGTAATTCCATGCTGCCAGGAATAGGATGAACAGATTGAAAACGAACAAAAGCCAGTACATGACATCGAACTGCCATCTATCCAAGTGAGATGCGAATCTGGCATAGTGCTCACACCGCACCGGGTCGAAAGGTGTAAAGTCTTCTTCGTTGGCCGACATCGTGACTGTTGTGTGCGTGTTGATCTGGTTGTTGGGTTGTAGAAGATGCTTTCACGTCTTCTTTTGAAAATCGTCTGGTGCTCCGGATGACAGAGCGTTGATGATATTGGCACTTGACAGATGGTGATGCAAGAGGCTCTGCTTCTTTATAGGTAAAGAGGCTCGTTTTGTAAAGTCACCGATCTGCAGGGTTATGATGAGTCGGTGCGGACTTGTCCAGGCTTGCGTGTGCGAACAGGGAGGCGCTTTCAGTCAGGCTCTGATGGCGGGCAGGGGTTGCCGTGGTGCTAAGTCTGCCGAGGGGCACCCCGGTGTGTTCGTGCAGTGTGCGGACTATGAGGCGAGGGGTGTATACTGAGATAATCTGTACGGTGGAGGTATAGACCAAAGCTCCTGTGGCTTGTCAAGCAGAAATGTGAGATTAGCTCAGATTGAGATGGCAGAATGGCTCGTCACTGCCCAGGGGACTACTGCAGTTCTGCAGTCACCTAGAGGCCGTTCGCTCCACTCGGCCTTAGACCAATGTGTGGATCCAAGGCCAAGTTCAAACTCATCTTGTCACCAATGATGCACCGATGCTGAGTCGAGAGAGGAGGGAGGCCAGGAATAGTGCTTGAAACAAGACGATAGTGACAGCGTCGTCGACATGGCTGGTGGTGATCCGCATGTGGATGGCGATGCTGTCTGGGCGATGTCTGGGCAGTCTCTTGGCAAGATGCGCGGGATAGGACGTAGATTGCCGATCTGTAGGCGGGCCCTTGGTGACGGCGCATGTGCATTTGGATTGGTCGGCCGCCGCATTATTCTCCGGACTAGGGGGGGCTTAGCAACGACGTCCAGACTTTGCAACTCTGTTGCACAGATATTCCATGGTTCCCTAAGCTCCAACGACGAGCTTCCCTTGTCCAACAATCCATTTCTTTCCCCCCATTACCCCGTCCCATGCCCGCTCCGACGCCGTCAGTGGGAGGCCACCCCGCGTGCCCGCAGTGTCCGCACGTCTCATCAACGAACCCTCAACTCGAACATGTGGTTCCTCAACTCATTCCCTCCATCAGCTCAACTCTGTCAAGCATCATTCCCTTCAGACCAAGATACTCCTTTAGCGAGTCCCACTCAATACCGCCCTCCTCACCGTGTCGCCATTTCTCTCTGTAACCCCAGGCGCATGCGATGTCATCCATGCCCGCCCTCTCTTCTTCACGCAGCCAGCGCTGGTGCAACGGAATACCGGGCGCCCAAGTGACTCGTCGCATATGATCATTGACAGTGGTTTTGGCAACCATCCCAATCGTCGCTGTGAACCCCAGATAAGCCAGGATGGCGGCGAAGGCGAATTTTGTGGCTGTCACGGGCTCCATTGTGTTCTGGAATGCCGAGAGATTGGAGGCAAGAGTGTAGACTCCAAAGGGGGCCGCTGCCACGGCCGAGACGGGCAGAAGCGCCTTCCGCAGAAGCTTTTGGCGGTAGAATGCTTGTGTTGCGTAGCAGGCCTCAACGATGCCAATCGCAGCGTCCAAATTCTTGGCGTCGATGGCGGCCCCCAGAGCTGTTTCGGCCACACTTGCTTCGATTGCCTTGTCTGCCCTATTTGGGTTCTGCTGAACATAGGAGATTGCACCCTCGACCGCCTTTGGTTTGGGCTTTGACGCATACAATTCGAAAACATGGGGAAGTGTCTCGGGCCTGCCAAGCCTAGCTTGGATGTTTACGTATAAGTCCAAGACCTGGGGACCAATGGAAACGGTGGGGTGGGCGATAATTTCGTATGCTGACTCGGAGATTGTGTCGACTGTATCCTTGACAGAAACTGACGGGATCGACGCGCTACCAGATTTAGCTGCAGTCAAGTTCGAGTCCAAGGATAACAGATTGGAAGCGGTCGATGCTGTGAGTGTCGAGGCCGGACGATTCTCCGACCTGGATAGATAGGGTTGAATCGCATTTGCGGCGCCTTGGCACGTTTTCAAGACTGCAGTGACGAGCTGTGTGGTGGGAATTCCGTCTGTAGAGAGGAAGTGCTTTCTGCTCTGCTGAACCACGGCCGCCAGCTTGCTCAGATCAGGGAGTTCCTTGGACGACGGATTGGCCGTTGTAGGCCTCTCGTGACCATTCTTTTGCAAAGCCGAAGCAGGCACCGTGCTCGCCAGGCGACTTTTCTCAAAACCCCGTCTCAATGTGGTATTCTCGTAGAGCTGGGCAGATCGAAGAGGGACGATCGAAGGCACGTTTGGCTTGGCGGTATGTTGGAGTCGAGTCTGTTGACCGGCGCGTGATAGGCCCACGCATGATTGACAAACGAAGCGAGGCTGGCGAGCCGCTGGCCGGATGAAGGCGGTCCGCATCATCTTCGTAGCGGGGAGGATAGTGCGCGAGGTCGGGTCGAGGAGGAGGAGGATGACGAGCGTACGCGTCTTCGGTGAGTGAGGATTGGACGATCTGAAGCACACAACGAGCGAGCGGGCGTGAAGTCGTAGACTGGCCTCTCTGGGCTGCAGCAGTAGAGCGAACAGCGAAGCAATCGGGATAGATAGTCCGTTTCGTAGCGAGGCAAGCCAAGAGAATCAAGCAAAAGGGGGCCGTCGGGCGGGTGAGGCAGAAACCGTGGGGGACAAGCAGCCGGGAGAGGCCGTCTTGGGGCTTGGTACTGGTTGAGGAGAGAAGGCCGACAAAGAATCCCGGGTGATGTGAGGCACTGGTACCGTGGGACGGTGGGATGAAGCAAAATTGGAGGACGGGAAAGGACTCTCGGAGCTCTAGACGCGACGGAGGTTCCGGGGAAAGCTGGGAGCTCATGCAAAATTTCCACCTTGAGCCCCATACCCCCAATAGCACGTCGTCTAATTACCCGCACCTGCCCCCCTAGCCTTACAGGCGATCATTCACGCGGCAGGGAGGCTCTCGCAGCTCGGGACAGCGCGCCGCGCCAATGAGATTAGCAGTTGCCCCTCCTAGGCGGGGTCGCTTTGGGGCAAGTACAGGAGAGTACAGCGCCCAGCCAATACTTGGAGGTGCACTGAAGAAACGTGGCCGGCAGCAGCCACAGCCGTCCACTGGCGTTGCATGCCGAGTATTCTGAGAGCCTACGCGCACCTCTTTGGCGCGAACTGTTACACTGCCACTTTACTCACACCGTCTGCTGCGTGTTTCTCAACACCATTTCTTCCAAGACGTTAAAGCTGTAGATCTTTAATGTAGCTCTGCATTAGATACAATTAACATCTTTGGCAATGAGTTGGTCTCTTGGGCCTATTCCGGTTTGTTCCGCAAGTTGTCTTGGCTTGCGAGAGTGCTCATACCCTGGATCACTATTCTTCCCATACGCCACATCGCATGCTTACGTACTGCCCAGCCACAGGTACGTGGAGAGACATTTGAGGCTGATGGGCCAGAAGATACTTAGGCTGCTATAGCATCTGCCCGCTAGTTGGAAGTACCTCAGATCAGGCAGGCGCCTCAGCCCACTTTGACCGTAACGGTTGCACTGCCAGCGTCTAACAGCGCAGCGCCTTTGAGCGAACGACCAAGATACTGCCCGAAGATGACGAAACACCACGCGGCTGAAAAGCGACCCCAGAGTACCATCATCCCATCGACCCTTGAGGACACGCTGATCGAACCCCTCGAGAGCCTCAATCTCCTCCTGCTATTGAAACAGCACCCTGTCGCTCCATTCTACTGTATCTGAACGACATCTCTCGCTCATTCTCGCCATTGAACCCAACCTAGCAAGCTTGGCTTGCATGAGCCTCCGTCCAATTCCGGCCGACGACCTAACCACCATCAACCACCTCTCCATCGACGAGAGTTAACCACAACAACCATCATTTACTCGATATTGAAAGCGCAAACACATAAAAGACATAGCAACAAACTGCATCATGCCCCCTCCACCTCCGCCGCCGCCGCCGATGCCTGCGATGGGCGGCCCTCCTCCGCCTCCCCCGCCGCCAGGAGGTCCTCCTGGAGCTGGCAATCTACCTTCGAGACCACCACCAGGAGGCAGAGTACGTCTTTGGAGCTCACAAGTGGACTTGAACGCTTTGTCACAGCATCATACTGATACGGGTCACAGGGCGCTCTACTCTCCGACATCACGAAAGGCAGGGCTCTCAAGAAAGCCGTTACGAACGATAGATCTGCGCCGGTAGTTGGGGGTTCGTCTGGTGGCGTTTCCTCCGGAGGACCGCCTCTAGGAGGTGCGCCTCCGGTCCCAGGCTTTGGTGGTGCCCCTAAACCTCCCGGTGGCCTCGCTCCTCCGGTGCCCGGAAATCGAGCTAGAAGCAATAGCGACCAGAGCGGGCGAGAAAGCGCGCCTGCACCGCCCACACAGGCAGCACCACAATTAGGGGGACTCTTTGCGGGAGGCATGCCGAAGCTGCGGAAGACTCGTGGCGCCGTTGATACCGGTGCTTCTATGGACTCGTCATATCTGTCGGATCCCGAGAGCAATGTGCGGTCGTCCTCTGCGCCGAAGCCACCCACATTCGGAGCACCAAAACCTCCTGGCGGTGCGGCGCCGGCCCCGCCGGGAAGGCCGCCTTTACCTCCTCCCAACGCCGCACCGGCCCTGCCACCATCCATTGCCAACTTGCGCAAGACGCCCAGCGATCTACCTCGGCCAGGCTCTTCAGCATCGATGAAAGGACCTCCGCCTCCTATAGGCAAGAAGCCGCCGCCACTGCCAGCATCCCGGAAGCCCTCGACTACGCCCAGCCACCCGCCTCCATTACCTGGATCGCCAGCTCCAGGAGCACCCCCTCCACCACCTCCATCGTCTGCTCCAGCACTTCCGTCCGCACCCCCCTCGGCGCCGCCACCACCCCCTGCTGCTGCTGCTCCCAGAGCTCCAGCGCCATCGCCTCCGTCGAGGTCCCCAGCACCTCCACCTCCTCCACCGGCCTCAAACGGACCTTCGCCGCTGGCAATGCAAGCCGCTTTACGAGCAGCCGGCCAGGCATCTCCAAGTGCTGCTCCACCGCCTCCCCCATCGGCGGCCCCCTCGCCCCCCGCCTCTGCACCTCCTCCACCAGCAGCACCCCCTACGAGGGCCCGTGCTGGTTCTGGTCTACGATCTTCTATGCTAGATCCAAGCGCCTTCACGCTTGCTCCCAATGGTGCAAAGAGTCCAAGTCCTACTCGAACGAACACGATGAGCAGTCTCAATGTCGGCGGTGGTGGTCAACGATACATCGTACAAGATCCTCGATGGAAGTTCCAGGATGATGCCATGTTGCCAAAGCCAAGGGACTTTGTAGGCGGTCCCCGACGATACAGAGCCGGGAGAGGTAGCAGTGTTCCTCTTGATCTCAGCGCCCTATAAGGGGGTCGGACTAGATACGGATTATTCCGTAGCCTGATCAGCGTCAAGTTCTATCAAAGTTTGGGTCTAGAGTGGCGACCAGCCTCGGGCAATCTACATGAATCAAACAATCTGCACTGCTATGATTCTTGGTGGAAACGCACCCCTTGTTGCTGCATGGAAGTCATCCGGCTGAGATTTCTCGCAGAAGACGGAGAGGGTTCAATTTCGACGCCTTTTGCCGGTGGGCTATTGTTAGTCGCCAAATTGAGGATATTCTGGAGGATTCGGACTCCGCAAAATCTTATACAACTGATCAAGCATTCGCAACACATCCTGAAGGCGTCGTCGTATCGGCACTTCTTGGCCCCGTTACCTTGGCGAAACGATCGACTGAGACGAATCTAGATCTCTCGGCCGTACTCGTCTTGGGAAATCTCTTGGTTTTCTTGGTATTCTTGGTACCAAGAACCATGGTTGCTTGTCGAATGCTTACACTCAACGTCCTCTTCTTCGGATGGAACGGGGGATTTCTACAGATTCTCTTACAGGGTCGTCAGGGACTTTGAGGGGCAGACGGGCTTGGCATGCAAGCAAGCACTCGCAGCGATGTGGAGAGTGAAGAAGAGCAAAGGATCACGTCATTCAAGAGAGCCATCACGCTAGCGAGATGCTCGGTCTTTCTGTTAGACATTGGTAGAAATCAGATTACTTACAAGATCCGGCTAGATTCTAAACCTGATCGTTGCTGGTATATTGATTACCAACCGCTCCATCTTGAACATATGGGCAGAACAAGTACTGGAGTGGATCCGTCGTTGTGTATTAGTCACGTCCGTCCGTCTTCGAGGCAGCCCTCATCTACCTCAATCCCTGAATGCCAGTCGCCTCCGTATAGGCCCGATGGGAAGAACATTCAACCCAGCACGATCACGATCACGATCCTACCTTTCACAAATTGATAATGATAACCCCTCATGTCGTCCAGTTGAACCTGGCATACTTCACCAACGGGGCACGTGAATCGAAGCAACTCGGTTCAACTTTCCGACTCGGGTAGTAGTAGACCCCATCGCGTCTTCAACGCTTCAGACGAAGGAGTTCACCTAGTTACACAAAACGCAACACAGCCTCGTCGACGCAACTGGTAGTCAGTAATCAGATCTTTCGTTCTGCCCTTGAACTTTTTTTTGACAAACTCGCGACAAGAGACTGAAAAAGTTGAGACGAGAATCTCTGTCTCTCTCTCTCTCTCGCCCGGGCCCGCGTAAAATTGACCGGTTGAGCCAAGTCTCAGCATCTGTAACCGAAACTTGCTTCGGCGCGGACCTCCAAAAAAAGACTTGACGTTGAAGAGAGAAGAGAGAAGAGAAAGACTATCCGTAGAAACCCCAGAAGACACCCCTCCCAAAGGGGTCAAGTTACGAACAAGGCTCAGGCTTCAAAACGTCCCAAAACAGGCATCATACGAACTCCTCGGGGTCCGGGGGAAAACTCACTGCCCAGTCAAGATTACATCTTATCACATGCACAACATACGTAAAGCGGCGTCCCCGGGAGACGAAGGAATCTTCATGTGAACCGTGCCCCGTTGATTGATTAAAGCTACCTCCTGTAGGGCGTGTGTTTCGGAGAGGAGAGAGGAGAGAAAAAACACCCCGTTGCTATCCCGCAATCGAGGGTTTCAAATACGTCCGCCGGCCGATTGCTTGCAGAAAAACGAAGAAAAAATCACTTTAACCCATGGGTTTGATAGCCCCGCGTCGAGGTTACGATCGATAACCTCACACCTTTGAACAACTCCCCGCCCTGATGCTTCGAGCAAATCAAAAAAAGGAACTTGTACGCGATAAACCCCCCCCCCCCCCTGAACTGGACCTAGACAAGAGAAAAAAGCTTTCACGCCATGCCGGCCCAGATCCTTGGCTGGTCTCCTCCACTTCCACTCCTACACCCCAGATCATAGATCGTTGATCATTTCAGATGAAGATTCAAAAAAAGATTGATAATGTCCCCGCACCACACAAGCCACCCCGGTTTGAACCCCCGTTTTCGTTTGCCAGGCATATTCCGCGTTTCCTTCCCCTATTTGGGAAGAAGAGGTATCCATGAAAAGATGAGAAAAACTTGCAGTCGTCTATATTCGTCAATGTCCGCGCTCATACCCGTTCGTGACGAAAAGAGAAGAAAGCCGACAAGAGGTGTATGTAGAAATAGGTCCGGAAGCCCAAAAGATCCAGTACCCCGGATCCGCCTGTACGTAAATAGCATCCGACGCTTCATGATTCAGACGACATGTTCGACGATCGACGCAGATTCAAAAATCTCAGGCGACGACGCTTCGACCAACCCCCGCACCCCACCTCAGGCGACGAAGCCCGCCGCCGGACGATCGAATAACTTCCCGTCCGCACGAAGATGAGTCCGCAACTGCCGAGGCGTTGACACCTACTCCTGCCGATAGTGCTTCCTGACGTCCTACTTCACGGCCGATCACATATCCCGCACCAAATCCTACCACAGACACCAACACCACCACGCCAGCACTGACAACCCATGTCAACAACGTCGGGCTGATGAGGGCATCCTCGCTGGCCGCGACCTTCTTCTTCTTTGTCGCACGGGACGAGCGTGTCTGTGAGGAAGAGGTTCGCTTGTGCTTATCGACACCGTCGCTCTTGGGTGATGAGGGGGCAGAAGACGCCGCCGTCCGTGACGGACGGGCAGCGGGAGACTTGGCAGGTGAGGCGGTCTGAGGTTGGGTAGGTCTTTCAGCCATGAGCTCAGATTCGGGCATCAGCCGTAACTCAACAGGTTGAGAGCTAGGTCCGACTCCGGCATGCGCGGTTGGAGCGCCCTGTCGCTCGGTAGTATCCTTATACTTGGGCAGACCACGGGCGGCAGCGGCGCACGACAGCAGAGTCGTGAGGGAAGCACGGAGAGCAGCGTCATTATCGGCTTGATATGCGGGGGACATGAAGTTTGGCGGGCCCCGGCTGACTCTAGTTTGAGATCGTTGGGATAGTGCGGGCCTTACACCGCTGTGCGGATGCTGGTGGATCGCCGAGCTGGCCGAGTGTCTCCTATCCAAGCCCGAGGGCGGATGAGAGAATGCGTTTGGCTGAGGTCTGAAGACCGGATCATCGGAAACGCGACCCAGGGCGGTAGCAATCTCGTCGCTATCGTCAGAGTCCTCCGAATCCTCCTGCGCCGATGGTTGCTGTTGGAACGACGCTCGCACCGGAGGCCGAACGTTCTCGGTCGAGCTCGTCAGACATCGGTCCTCCTCGCTTTCACTCTCCTCGTACTCCTCCTGGCTACTTGTACCAGCGTGGATAGCCGTCTGGTCGACATGAAAAGATCGTGGCACAGGTTGGTTTTGGTGATGTAAGCGACGTCGGCGGGCGGCCATGGACCCACCGACTCGGAGACCGGTGGTGACGATCTCGTCGCCGATGGAAGAAAGAGAAGATGAAGAAGGCTGCGACGAGACCTCTACCCACGAATCTAAAAAGAGAGATGTCAGCATTCTGTCAATCTGGCCAGCTGAGTGGCTGTCTTCTAGTGACTGACCGTCATTCCGTCTGCGAGGGCCCGCGACGGGCTGTGATCCGTTCGCCGACATTCTGTTGTTCTGGAAGTTGTGTCCTGCGCGGTCGTCGCGCTGCTGTCCATCCATTTTGAGATTTATATTTTTTGATGCCGTTGAATTTGGAAACAAAAAAAGTAGCCAGAGATATAGAGAAAGGTCGTTCGTAATCGTCAGACGTCGTTGTCGTCGTGGTCGTCGACGGAGGTGGTTGGACGTATGTGGGGGAGTACTTCCTCCGTCCCAAACCCCGCGTTTTGGAGATAAGATACGCTCGTGAGATCTCCGTAGCAAGGGGTCCGAGTTGTCTGTTCGCTCGACGTTGAAAGTGGTTTGAAAAACGCGCTGGTTCACGACGGAAAAGGAGTTGAAGTAAGAAGGGGGAAACAAAAAAGTAGGTAAGAAAGGAAGGGTTGCAGCAGACCGCTTCGACTATAGCCGGCTCACCAGGCACGCAGGGTCGGTGAGATGGTGTTGAGGCCCGGCTGGTGGATGGCTGGCTGGGCCTTTGTGCAGCACATAGAGGTCGGGGAACCTGGAAGGAGGGGAGGGGCCTCTCTGTCTCTGTGTCCACCTTGAGCGTGCAATACGGCAGGTGGGATAACGGACGCTAGTAGATAATCTGGAATGTCACTGGATGTACATCTGCAGCAGTCATTCGCGTGGCAGATACCTGGTCCTCCGAGCCGGCGCTTGGAGGTTCCGGCCACCGTACCGTGTCAGGTGGCATGGCCTCCGCCTTATCAGATGGGCGTTGGCCGGCTGCAAACAGCGCGATAAGCACAGTACGACATTTCTCTGATCAAGGGAACGTCCTTGATATGGATGACGCTATCGTTACGGTCAGGGGGGGAGGAGAGACAGCCATACACTGTTGCGTACTCCGTACGAATGGACGCATCCACGTCCACGTCCCGCCTCAGAACATCCCACTTTGGCACTTACACACCGTCCGGGCCGCTAAGTGCAGGCGCTGCAGGGGGTCAGGTGGGGTCGAGATTCACGGCGTTTTGCAGCGGGAAGCGCGAGCTGCGCCCACCACGAGTCCCTCGACCACTTAACACCGTGACACCGACACCGGCTCTCCAAGTTTCGGTCGCATATTGCGTGGTCTACCTCTGTACGGCAACATGGGAAATGCGGAGAGGATTGCCGTCCGGCGCTGCTAGTGGTCTGCCGACGCCGCGACATGCATCCCACGACAAGGGCGATCCCAAGACACGCCGTGATTCTCGTCTTATTATCGTTCCCTAAGTCATGCCAGATTCCACTGACGTGCTGTCGTAGGTAGCACTGGACTGCCGCCCTACTCCTTGTCCTTCCCTTCGCACCACCGTTTTCCCAACAGGATAGCCTCCGTTTGGCGCCTTGGAGAAAGGCCACCTAACTTAGTCAAACGGCTGAGCAGGTTTTACAACCATCTGCTGGCGAACGGGTGTTCTCCCGTGACGTTTGTTAGCTGAGAAGGGCAGGAGTGACCAAAGGACGGGTGTTCTAGTGGGATGGAACATTTTAGAGGAAGACACAGCTTTGCCCGTCATCACGGGGCTGAATACGCACCTCGTGCCGCCCAATGACGCAGAGTCGCACATTTTAAGCTGGCCACGAGGCTACCGTTGTATAGGACCGAAATCGGGCAGTTCGCCCCCCCTCCCCCCAAATGAGACATGGAACCACGTTCCCGTCTTAGAACACGGCCGCGATCTGAGATAAGGTCGCAGACGACATCAAACATCACGTGTTAGGTAAATATGCATAGATGAAAGAGGATAAATGTGTATTCATCGAGGAAGGTATCAAAACTTTTATTACAATTGGAGCCGTTCCTGAACGCCGAATCCACCTGGCAATATATGCCTTTTTTGAAATGACATTCACGGGGAGAAGTATACTTACTCCACATCCTGCATCGCATTGCATGGTATCGTTCCAAGTTCAAGAGTAACCGAAAGGGAAGAAAAACGCCTGACTAGCCACATCAACAGCCGAAGCCGTTGAAAGCAACCCCCAGAGCCCACAGAAGCCGTCGTCATCTAGAATCATCGAGTCCCCTCCGTCGAGGTCTGCTAAGCTGGCAGACATCGGGAAGGATCTTCCCCAGTTTCATGATAATAAGCCGTCTGCCCACTGTGAAGATGTTGCAGTGCAACGAATGCCCTCTTGGTCAACCCACAATAGCGTACAGATCCCGCACCGTCTTCTTCCATAGAAAGAGACTTGCCACAAGCCTACGGTCCAAATGAAAAGCCCTCAGGTCCATCTTGTCTCCCAAGAGACTGCTCTCAAAGCCCACAATCCCAAAAAAGGGAAGAAACTTGTGTCGAACCGACAGCCCACAGTAGCCCACAGGAATGCCCGCGAAGTGCCCTCTGATCAATCATCAATGTGCGGCATGCATCACCGTTTAGAAGGTGACCTTGGAGCCCTTGAAGTCGCCGAAACCGCCACGGTTGGTGGAGGAGAAACCACCACGGCCGCCACGGCCACCACGTCCACCGCGGTCACCACCGCCACGGCCTCCGAAGCCGCCGCGTCCACGGCCGCCACCACGGCCGCCACCGAATCCACCGCGGCCGCCACCCTCACGCTGGGGCTTCTGGCCGGCGTAGTCCAGGCGGACAGCGCGAGCACCGCGGCCCTCACCAAGGTAACCACCGTTCAGCTGAGTAAAGGCAGTCTTGGCGTCCTCGACAGAGCCGAAGGAGACGTATCCGAATCCCTTGAGGTTACCCGACTCACTACAAAGGCGTTAACATTGATCAAGTTGGTACAAGTTGTGGAATATACTCACGGGTCAGTGGGCAGACGGACGCTGGTGACCTCAGCAGCCTCAGTGAAGAAAGCGCGGACGGAATCCTGATCAATGTCGAAGGGAAGGTTGCCGACGAAGAGGGTGTCGCTCTCGGGGGAGACCTGGTCGCCGTGCTTCTGGGCGCGGTCGAAAGCGCGGGCGGCGGGGTTACCCTCGCCCTGGGGCTTCTGGCCGGAGAAGTCGATGTTCATGGCACGGCCAGAGAGCTCACGGCCCTGAGCGGCCTCGAGGGCAGCGGCAGCAGCCTCGGGGGTAGAGAAGTCGACGTAACCGAAACCACGGCTGCGGCCAGTGTTCTTGTCGGTGACGACGCGAGCGCCGGTGAGATCAGCGAACTCCTCGAAGGCGGCGTACAGGGAGTTATCATCGACAGCCCAAGCAAGGGAGCCGACGAAGAGGGTAGAGCTCTTGTCAGAGACATCGGTGCGTGCCTTCTTGCCCGGGATGACGGGGTCATCAAGGGCCTTGCGCTTCTTGGAGGGCTCTTCAGCCTTGGTCTCAGTCTCGGATGCTTCCTTAGAGTCGGAGGTCTCCTCCTCATCAGAGTCAGAAGAGTCGGAATCGGAGTCGGAAGAGTCGGAGCTCTGTGAATGGATTGTTAGAAAGTGTTATGGTCCTCAAGACGATGGTTAAACTCACGGCCTCAGCCTTCTTCTCGACCTTCTTCTCGGCCTTCTCCTCCTCAGACTCGGAGTCGGAGTCCGACTCGCTGTCAGAAGACTCGGCCTTCTTGGCGGCACCGTTGGTCTTGGGAGCAGCCTCAGCCTCAGACTCGGAGGAGTCAGAGTCAGAGTCGGAAGAGTCGGAAGACTCGGCCTTCTTGGCGGCAGCAGCCTTGGGGGCAGCCTTCTTGACGGGCTTCTCCTCCTCAGACTCGGAGGAAGAGTCGTCGCTGGAAGCCTCAGCCTCAGACTCAGAAGAGTCGGAAGACTCGCTCTCGGAAGACTCAGACTCGGGCTCAACGACCTTCTTGGACTTCTTGGAAGCCTTCTTCTCGACCTCCTTGGCAATGGCCTTGGACTTGGCCTTGGGGCTCTCAGAGGCCTTGGTGACGCCAGCGCCCTTCACCTTGGTGAGAGGGTCGGCGGCCTTGGTGGCCTTGGTGGATGACTTGGTCTTGCCCATTGTGATGATTTTGAAAGGGTAAACGGAAGGGGTATCAAAAACAAGAGATTGATATTTGGAAATAGGCAAGAGAAAGACTTTTTCCAGAGAGGTTGCACAAGAGAAAAGTTGATAGAAGCTTGGGGGTGGGAGCTTGACTTTTAAGGCCAGGGTCTCGGTGGTTGGGGCGAAGGGTCTTGCGACAGAGATTTTTTTTTTGCGATTTGCCAACTTTTCAGCGGGGCTTCTCCCTCGACTGCGCGGGCGGTGTGCGAGGGGCTGCAAGATAGCGGGTCTATCTAGGTACGTACCGAAAAGCCGCAGCCGAGTCGCTCTGGGGGAAAGCAGGAACGACGGCCGTGGTCCGTGAGCAACGGGGGCGCGACTGAGCCTGCGAATTAAGGCCGCCGGAATCTGGCTGACCTCTCTAGCTGCCAGGTTCCTCCACTCCCGACAGCCAACGGTCCCGAAGTCGACCATTGCGAATCCACGAAGCTTGACCACACTCCGTCCGCGACCTCCGACCTCCTGGCTCAATTCGAACTTCATTCCTTCCTCGAGAAGACGACTTTTGAATACACAACTCAGTCATAATGCCGACCCCCGAGTCCGCGATGTTCCTGGCACAAAAGCCCAAGGTGCCCCCAACTTTCGACGGCGTCGACTACGACGACACCAAGGCATTCAAGCAGGCACAGGACGCCATCATCCGTGAACAATGGGTCGGCGCTATGATGCTGCGCCTTGTTGGCGAGGAATTGGGCAAGTGCTACAAGAAGGAGGGCGTGAACCACCTGGAGAACTGCGGTCACCTCAGAGGTTAGTAGGCCTTTGCGAGAGACGGAGGGGAGAGCTCGATTTGCAGTCCACCAGCGGGTGTATCTTGGCCAGGTGAAGAAAAGACGCTGATCAGTGATACAGAAAAGTACCTGCAATTGTTGAAGGAGAAGAAGGTTAAGGGCACACTGTTCGAGCAGCAGAACTACATCAGCAAGCAATAGATATGCTGTACGATGGGACGGAGTAGAAGGGACTGTTGTGAAGCAGGAAGCGGCGCTCTCGAAGACGACCTCTCTCAGGATTTAGAAATGAGGAACGCAGAGACGAGGCTGTGACGGTATCACGTCAACGAGCCGGAGCGTGATGGGCGATATCCCTCACGATATGTACAAATGAATCAAACAGGGCTTTTGAGGTTATGCATCTATCCGTGTCCCAGCTTCTGGTCACCCAATGGCTCTCGAATCAGCCAGCTTTGAGAAAATTCCCGCTGGCTTCTATCAGATAATTCAAACTATTATCTTGTGTTCATCAATTGACTTCAATGACGGGTTGTAAGTGAGGGTGAAGGGCCAGTGAAGCGTAGTGCCCAGAGCCTCCCATGCCAAGTGCGCAACAGGCGCGTTCCGCCCGCCCCAGAATTTTTCCACCCCCGAGCTCCAAGCTCACGCATCCTGCAACACCACCAAAAGTTCAAGGTGATCCTCGTCGACGAACAACCCACAAAGATATCCAGCACCGGTGACGCAAATCGGCCGCGCTCGGCAACCCCCCAGATACAGAAGCCATGATTTGCAGAACGTGCATGCGCCGCGGCGCCTCGGCCTTACCCCGTCTCCAGGCCCCTCGCGCCTCGTCCCTCCTCATCAGACCCTTCTCCCTCTCCGCGCCCTCAAGAAACGCAGTAGAAGCGCCTGCTGCAGGAGCTGCTGCTCCTGCTACTCCTGCCGCCACCAACGCCAAGGACGCACCCCCGAAGCTCTCCTCGTCCACCGCCGACATCCCCGAGGCCGCGGCGCCCATCTCCTCCTGCCCGCCCGGTACCGTCCTCAACGGCCTCAACTACTTCAAGAACAAGACGGACCCCGTCGCTCTCCCCGATGAGGCGTACCCCGACTGGCTGTGGACGGTCCTCGAGTCCAAGAGCGAGGCTGTAGAGTCTACGGATGACCTCGCCGCCGAGATGTTTTGTACGTTTCCCTTTTCCCACCCAATTTGCCCTGGCTCAAGAAAAAAACCATGTTGAGTACAACATCTAACATACAAAACGCACAGCCAAGTCCAAGAAGCAGCGCAAGGCCGCCGCCAAGAAGCAAAAGGCTCTCGAGGCCAAGGTTCTTGCCTCAGGCGACCTCGAGGCCCTCGCACCAAAGGTCCCGCTGCCCCAACAGTCCATCAACTTGCCCGGAGAGAAGGGTGGCGACGTCGAGCACAACCTCGAGGCGGCGACCAAGAGAGACGAGCTGCGCAAGGCGATGCGCAAGGACCGCAAGGCCAAGATCAAGGAGTCCAACTACCTCAAGTCCATGTAAGCGGGGGGTCGTGGTGGCACCGCTGTGGTGGCTTGTTGCATCTTGTATGGTTGCTACGTATGTGGCAGGAAGGGGTCGAGATTGTGTATCATAGAGAGCTCTCAAGAAGGGGGCTCCTGTACAATATCTACGGTCGTCATGACCGGCTTGTTATATCATCACCAAAATATCAACTGGACGAGTAAGAAGAACGATGTTCTTAGAGCACTGCGGGCTCTGGTTTCCAATATTAAAAGCTTGTGGGCATGATAACTATACATGGCCGTAGATAAAATTGCTTTGAAGTGGATATTCTTGCCCTTCCGTTTGCAATCTTATGTGGGCGCTCAGGGCGCTTCTGCCTTAATCGTCGTCCTCCTCTTCTTCGTTGATAGACGTTTGCTTGAGCGCCAATTCTGCCCTCAGCTGCTTCAACCTGTCCTCCACACGCTTCCGCAGAATCTTGTTTTGTTGGAGAGCCTTCTCCTGCTCCTTTTTTGCAATCTCTGCCTTGAGATTCACGATATCTTCTCTGACGGCCTTGATTTCGTCCTGAGGCGGCTTGTCCTCGTCGTCATCATCGTCATCGTCGTCGTCGTCGTCATCTTCGTCCTCTTCACTAGCGACGGACTCATCCCCATCACGTGCGTTGGCTGCCGGTGTGCCGGCGTTCATAGTCATCGGCGTGGCCCCCTCAACTTGTGTTGCTGGTGTGCCAACCTCAGTCGTGGCCTGGTTCAACTCCTCTTCGAAAGCAGCCTCGAGCTCTGCCTCCAAATCGTGGTCATCGTCGTCAAATAGTTCGCCGTTGGCATAGCCCTCAGAGGGGAAGTAGCCGCTGTCATCGGCCTCGCCATCGGCGTCTTGTTCGTCGTCGGAGTACTCGTCGCCAGACTGCATCTTTCTGTCGTCGATGAACTCATATTTGGAGGACATAGCGGCCGCATCGGCCTGCAAGAGTTTCTTAACCTCGTTCTCCTTCAATTCGATCTCAGAGCGACTGATGATTTTTGCGAATCTTTGATTCGTTGCGTCGTGCATCGGTGGCGTCAGTCCGTGAGGCCACTTGAAGCCTGGCTGAATCATCGCAGGTAATGGTGCCTTCTTTGCCTCTTCGTCACTCTTTACAGGCTGGAAGACCAGCAGCATATGGCAGATGTCGGCTGACTTCATGAGCGTCTTCCGGTCCCAGGACTTCATTCCTTCCGTGATTGTCGGTAGCTCAACCATGACCGCTGCGTACGGTTGGTTTTTGACGACAACGACCGCGCGCCGGCTTTCGTCGTCGAAAAACTTCATCATTATATCCGCGCCACCATCTTTTCGAGTGAGGCCCACCTTGCCTTCTTCGACGCACTTCCTGACGTATTCGCAATGCTCTCCTGGCATCATGCGCAAAATGAACTGCTCCTCGATTGTAGGGTCCTTCTCTTGGTCGCTGGCTTCCGAGTCGTAGCCATCACCAGGGGGATGTACTGGTGGTTTGCCTTTCGACTTGACAACGATGTGACCCGATCTAGGTGTCGATACGTTCGGCGTCTTGAGAAGCTTGATCTTTTTCGAAGACGGTTGGTTTGCGCCGTCGTCATCTTCGTCTTGTTCCCTCTTCTTCGACTCGATGAGCTTGCTCGTGGGCTTCGATTGACGCCCAGCTTTTGTCTTGATCGGTGTTGGTGCTGCCGGCCCAGCCGGCGTTGGCGGTTGTGATGATTTGAGTTTAATCTTCATCCCAGAAGGTGTCGAAGCTGTAGGTGTCGCGCCGTTCTGTTCGCTGAATGATGTCTGTCGCGAATTCACGCTGAGCTTCAGCTTCGGCCGTGGCGGCGGCGGCGCACTGATGTCTGGCATCTTTCAAGGTCGCTCGTCGAAAGTATTACGGGTGTTCGCAGTAAGGTATTTCTGTTTGTCGCATCCAGGGGGTATAGTCAGAGTTAAGAGAAGGATTTCGTTTGTGTAGATCGGAAAGGCAGGCGCGCCTGGATCTTCGCGGGGAGGTTAAGTGGAGCGCATACGGGATTCCTTTCTGATTGAAGGCGCGGGAAACAATGTTCAAGGACTCGTTGAATCAAGTGCGCCGGAGTTGTCGCCTTGGAGAAACTCTTGGCAGATCCGTACGCAATAGAAATCTTGGGTAGAGATTCGAAGGTGCGTGCATCAAGACCAGAGGCGCAAAGTTAGAAGCGGAAGTTGAGATCCATGGGTAATAAGGTACCTTAGGTCCTAGCTGACCACGGTACTTACGCAGTGGAAAGGTTCCCGCACCCTGGAAAGTAGCTAACTTTGAGCAAGACCAGCCTTGCAGGTCGCGTGTGGTGAGTGGAAGCTTTAGCGTGACAAACGCTGGCGGCATGGTGCACAGACCCGACTGCTCCTTCAGGCAATGGAACCAACCGCATTCACTTCAATCACCTTACTGGAGACGTTGCGGTCGAACGGATACTCAGATCCATCTTGGTACGGAGTCACAGACTACGTAAGGTAGTTGGTTGAAAGCAAGTCTTTTTCAGTATCTAACTAGGATAACTCTGGATATGAGCTCTGTTGCCACGCTACCTGTTAAGTTCCATCATCGCTATTTTCTCACCAAACATTGCGTCCTCTTCTACTTGCCTTCTATTGGCCGACAACCATTCTATCAATGTGCTTCACCCAAAGATCGAATGTTCTGCGCTTTGAGCCTGCGTCTCACTCCAAATCATCTCGTAGCTTTGGGTCATCAACAACCTGACTGATATCTTCCCATTGGAGCTCATTCCCTATGGCAATGAATCGGGATCCTTTACGGGTCTTGAGTTTCCGAACTGAGCCAGAAAACTGTTTCAAGAGGTTATCCTGCACAGAATTGGAAATTCCTCCGTCTTCAATGCCCTGAATAAAATCGTTGATGAATTTCCTCAAATCGTTGCCCCTCCTGCGAGGCGCTCGGTAGTACTCATCCATTTTGCCTTGCTTGTATCTCTGGAAGATCTCGAATTGCGTTGGGAGGCGTTTAGGAGCATTGGACTTTGCCGGTTTGGACTTGGGGGCTCTAGACTTGGATTGTTCGGGGACCAATTTAACGCGTCTCTTCGGTTGCTGTTGAGGCTTGGGCGGCGCTGAGATAGGCTCCTCACTGTCGACAGCTCGAGGCCTCTTTCTGACAACAGCCCGAACTAACACATGTCAGCTTCGTACTCTGTGTTTTGGGATTTGGATTTCCTACAGTTATCTGGGTCATCCTGCGTCGCCTGCAAGGACTGCTCAGCGACGAGTTGTGCAACCTTGCGGTCCAAAGCCGCCCTCTCTTCATCGCCCTGGAAGAGCCTATCTGCAAAAGCTCTAAGCTCTTCCTCCTGCTTCCGGATCTTTCCCTCTGCTGCTGCATAGTGATTGTTCAGTTCGGCTCCCAGATCATCCAGTCGCTTGGGCATGGGCTGCAGCTCCTGCAGCCTCGTCTCGCTGTTTTTGTTCGTCTCGTCGCTCTTCTCCTGGCGACGAGAAATGTCATCAAGAGCACGACGCATGGTCATGAGCTCTTGATAGATGACAATGTGGCTCATGCCAAAGGCCATCTGGGTTGCGGGAATGGTATTAGTTGCAGCGGCACCATTGTTCTGCATGTACCGTGACGTATTAGAACCAACGGCATCATACAAAGAGCTCTAATGTTGCTTACAGACGGTCCGGCAGGGGCAGCTGTGTGTTCGAGGTTCGATGCTGTAGCTGACCGTTTCTTCGACGTTGCCGGCGGCATTGTGATGGTTGTGGCTTCTCCTGGTTTATGTAAGAGAATAGGAAGGCACCGAGAGGAATGACGTGATAGAAGAACACACACAGAAGTGGTTGACCAGGACAGAAGAGAGGAACGTCGAGCCGGTTGATGATATACAGAATGAGGGCTGAAGAACCGCCTGCGTCTTGTTTGGCGATGTGTGGAAAGGGGTTGAAAAGAAAGGAGGGCTTCGATTGCTCCCACAGAAGTCGGGAATGGCAGGTCAGGTGTCTGGTTCCAGGGTTTGCATGGCGTCGGAGGAAGTCAGGGCAGGTGCGAGGAGGTTCCTACCATTCCCAGATGTTCGTTGTGGGAAGGAGCCCAAGCCAGTCATTCATGCACCTGCTCTTCGTTGGGGGAGCTGAATCTGGAAGGGGCTCGAGGCATTCAGTGGCTTTTAACGATCATGTGTATTAGCTTAAAGTCCTACTGCAACTTAGGTATCGCGTACTAGAAACTTGCAAAAGGCCTCCTCTCATGCGTGTACCTGGCCATTTGTCCCCGATCCTCCTCCATTCGTACTTCCTGCCGCTGGCTCTTTCCCATTCCTCGAAGACACGCCTTGCCTCGAAGTGCGACCACCCTGCATCGAAGACTCGGCATCCTCCAAAGTCATAGACGGCTTGCGGTTCGGGATCTCACTCCCTCCACCGTTCCCCTTGACGGCAGTCCACTTCCCTACGCTCGTTCCCTTCTCCCGCTCCTCAGCAATCCAGCCTAGAAACAGCGCAACGTCCTTAGCCACCACGCCAATGACGGCCTTTGCCTGAATCCACGCAGGCAGCACCCCCTTCGCGTCCGACGCTGTAGCCATAATCCATTCAATCGCCCCCGTCGGCAGCTTTCGAACCCTCTCGACGCTCACGTACGCGCCCACAACCACACCCTTATCCTTGACGAGCTTCCCGTGCTCCGACGCAGCTAGGTCCGAGACGGGTATCGACACCACGACGAACTCGTCCACCGCACCCTTGGCCCTGGCCGAGATAATGAGCACGGGGAACACGCGGTTCTTGAGCGGCATCCCGAGCTTGTGCTTGATCTCCGACACCCCAATCTTGAAATTCTCCCACGACAACCCGCCCTCGTCAACGACGATACCGCTGCAATCCCACGCGAGCGCCTCCCGCGCCTCCATCACGTTGGGCGTAAACGCCTTCTCGGCCTCGACGTGGTCGTCCTTGAAACACTTGACAAACTCCTCCCACGCCGCCGTCCCCTTGCCCGGCCGATCTTTGTGGATGCTCCGCCGGCACGCCCACGTTTCGCT